TGAAAAACAAAAAGTTATATAACTTTTGTTCCTGACAAGTTTGAACCTTCCCCCACCTCTTATTTGAAGAGTTAGAGCAAAAAATCCTTAATAAAATTTTTTCGTAATCTCATCAAGATTTCAATAATCATATTTTTAGGATAGGTACCTTAAGTGGGCGTTTTTTGAAGATAATCACAGTATTATGTTTTCGAGTGTTCGTTGCGCCCCTTAGCGGTCAACTTACAAACTTTAAAACTATTTCCAGCAATTTTTCATGGCCTATTTTATGAAAAAAAATTTTACTTGGAAGCTCTAGGACTAATAGTTCCTGAGATATAGCCGGCAACCTTTCTTATTTGGAAACCCGGTACAAGCAGTGTGCCCATACAACAAGACTTGGGCCATTTTGAAGAAGAGCTTGACTAATTCGGAACTTTTCCGAAGAAGTAGATGGAGTTGATTGAAGATAATACACATATCGTCGCTGTCATTACGAAGTGGCCAATCTCTGATTTAACAACTTTTCAGGAGAGCGTTTTTAAGAAAACTCTACTGTTAATTTTGTCTAGCATCAGAACTTGTTTTTTCATATATAACACAAAAGTATACTTAGAACATTGAGACATATCTTTTTTGAAAGAAAAGATTGGACTTTTTCTGTAAATAAATTATTAAGAAGATAGGCCCGTTCGTAATAACAAAAACAAATGTTTGGCTGGTTGACAAAACAGATATGCCGCTAAAATTGAATGCCAAACGGTGTATTATGGAGATATCCCAGTTCGTCACAACATAGATATGGTTCTTTTAAGTATTTTTATGGGCATAACTCATTTTCGCCAAATATTGAGATAGGCCCCTTCGTAATGACAGCGACGATATATTCGATATAAATACATGTTGGTTGAACTTTCAATAACAAACGAAACTTAAGAAACGAAACTTAAGTAACGATCATTTTACTAGCGAAATGTTAGAACGTAAACTTCCAAACAATCTAACCACTTACTGGGTTCGGGTAAAGTAGCAAAATTATATCTACACGCTTTTGGAGAAAATTTTTCGGTCTACAACTTATTTTCCTTCTTTATAATATCAAAGAAAAAATTACAAAAGGCATATTTACCAGATGCCTGAACCGCTACCACTTTTTTTGACTTTCCATATTCATCGGCTTATGACCAGATATGTCTTGAAAATGGTAACGCTTAGGTATAAATACAAATACATTATTCAAAGGGAAATTTCATTAGCTTTAATTTTACAAACTTTGAAATTCTCTGTAGGACGCACCATTCTCGAGATGAAAGTCACAAACTGACAACAGTGACCTTCGGGTCCTTCCCGTCCCTCCCGCGGCGCATGAAATCGAAGGGACTTTATAAAACGTTGCTTAGGACATCATCCTCTATACATTCCTGAAAAAATTTGAACCCCATCATTTAATGCACGATACGCCGCCATTTTGAATTAGTTTGCTTGGACTATTAGAAGCCATCATCAGTGCAACTTGGACAGGTGCGGATGACTGCTGGATCGACCATTAGCTGATACATACGAAAGCGTAGAAGTGCCACCCGAATTTGGGTTTGATAATTCTGACATATAAGTCAGAATCCTGAGATATAAGTTAGAATTCTGACATATGTCAGAATCTTGATTATAAGTCAGAATTTTGAGATATCAGTCAGGATCTTGTGATATAAATCAGAATTTTGACTTATAAGTCAGAATTTCGGCCGGCTCTACCATAAGGCGAACAGAGTGAGCGCTCCAGGCGCCAGACCTCGGGGGGCCTGCGACTCGTTTCTTGGTGATAAAAAAAAAGAAAAATATATTTTTGAATCTTGTCTTCGCTTTTTCATATTCTGCTATTCTGCTCTGCTTGCGAACAAGCGTGTGGTAAGTACCTTTGTGATCAGGTAGATCGAGACATATTATAATAAGATATGCTCAAAATCCATGCTCGAACGTATACTTCATTCATATCTACATCTAAGAAACTCATTTGCATGGAATAAATACAAATTCATTGTAATGTTGCAATAAATGTTACTACTTGCTACTATGAAAATCACATGTTAATGTGTCATGAGTAGGGATATAAGCAAGTTTTTCTGACAATGTCATGTCACAGTCAAATTGAAAATGAAGGTCATGTCATTTATTTCTATGACACTCTTGTCATTTACTTTTTTATCGATTGAATTTTCTGACAGTCAAAATAATAACTGACGGTCATTAAAATATATGACTATCATTGAAATATATGATAGTGTCACAAAAATATCAGCTGACTTTCGAATTTTACTGTCAATCTTATGGGGGAGATGGAAGCTGTACTTTCTAACTCATTAGATGACTTTGATGCTGATGACTGAAACTAAAGAAGAACTTTAGTCAACCAATCAGTTATCTGATTATTGATTTAAGTTATGTTATGACTATTGGCCGTGTTCGTTTTTGTTATCTTTTTCGTCGATTTGCTCCAAAACTTGGCACGTGACTGGATCAGACAGTTTCAATTAACAAAGCACGCGCCAGTCAAAATTTCGGAGCAAATCGACGAAAAAGATGACAAAAACGAACACGGCTGTTGACGGTAAATGACAATAAATGACAAAAATGACAAAAAAATTACTGACTTATATCTCAAATTAATCGCTTATATCTCAAGTTTCTGACTTATATGTCAGAATTCTAACTTATATCTCAGGATTCTGACATGTGTCAGAATTCTGACATATCTCAGGATTATCAAACCCAAATTCGGGGGCCATTCTACGAGTTCTACGCTTCCGTAGATACGAGCCAGAATCAACTTGCGCATCCCACCAAAGCGTAGATGTCGAAAAAAGAAGTTCAGACGCAAATTTAACCTAGAACACCTTCAAGACGATCATATCAAAACAAACTTTCAAGTCTCTCTAGCCTTCTGGCTTCCGTTAGAGTACTCGAAAAGCATTGGCGAGCACTGGAGAATATTCAAGGCCGCAGCAAAAACATCTGCCTCGGAAGAGACGATCAGCTACATACATAAAAAAATATCAAGACTAGTTTTATGAGAACGACACTGTAATTCAAGACCTTATAGATAGAAGAAGAAAAGCGCATAATGCATGGAATAGGGTCGCTTTTAGCTCGACTGTAAAAAAAGGCAATACGCACAAGTGAAAGCAGAAGTTCAAAGGCAAACGCGAGCATTAAAGACCAATGGTGGATAACAAAATCAAACGAAATGTAGCAACTAGCTGAATCCAACAGCACCAGGGCCTTCTTTCAAGCTACTAAGATGGTATACGGACCAACCACTCAGGGACTCAATCTCTCACGATCCAAAGACTGCTTAGATAGGTCTTCCATTAACTCTCGTTGGAAGGAACATTTTCAGGATCTGCCTAACAGAGAATCACAAATTAATAATAATATCTCCGACGAAATTCCACAGAAACCGATACAACAAGAACTAAGCGAGGTTCCCAGATGAGAGGGGGTTGAAAAGGCAATCAGACAACTAAAGAACAATAAGTCAGCTGGTATTAACGGCATTCCTGCTAAATTCTTTAAACAAGGAGGCCCCACTCTTAAGTGCCGAAACCCACATCCTAATAAGTAAAATCTGGATTACTGAGACCATACCTGCCGAGCTTAGAGATGCCTCCATAGTTACCATTTTTAAAGAGGGAGACAAGGCTGAATGTGGAAAGTACAGAGGAATATTTTTACTTTCTGTTGCGGAAAAGATACTTGCCAAGATATTATCAAATCTTCTAATCACAACTGCCAAACAGAACCTCCCAGGGAGTCCAGAGACACAGTTTGGCTTTAGACCCAACCAAGGTACAGCTGACATGATTTCCAGTGCAAGACAAATGCAGGAGAAATCTAGAGAACAAAATCGCCCTCTATACAGGGCCTTCACAGTTTAGTAAAAGCATTTGATTTGGTCAACTAAGAAGCTCTTTGAAGGATATTGGCAAAAGTTGGGTGTCTGCAAAAGTACATCCAGATAATCCGCCTGCTGCATGATAATATGAATGCAACCGTCCTAAGCAAGGACGGACAGGGAGAGTCTTTTGAAATAACTACAGGTGTTAAAAAGGGCTGTGTTATTGCACCCACTTCATTTTCTCTATTTATACTATTTATGGGATCCATACCTTCACCTTGTCAGGGTCACCTGGCGTCAGGAGAGGAAATCCTGTACAGACTAGATGACAGTTTACCACCCAAGATGAAAGTATCGACGACATCGATAATTGAATTTCAATATGTGGATGATCGCCAATACAGAGTAAGATCTTCAGGCGATTAGCAGGTGGAAATCGAAATCAGGAAGGTCCAGAAAAACGCTACACGGATGTTCTTAGGAAGAATATGGTAGAGTGCCGCATCGATACCAGCAACTGGAAAACGACGGCAAATGATAGGCCCCCGTATGACGTCGAGTAGTCCACGACGGATCACCGATTTATAATGCAAAAAAATTATGCACGCAATACAAAACCTTCATTTTATTAACGTGCACACAGCACCCACCCCCACCCCTATTTAAGAAATATATTCATAGGTAACCTACATACTGTTTTGGTATTTACACATATTTAAAATTTGTTTGCAATTCACCTTTTTCAAGGAAAAATTAGGTTTTAATTTGATAAATAAACTTTATTTGCTCCAATAAAAGCCTTTCAAGCCTAGAAACTTTTATTTTTATATTTTTTAGTACTTGATGTGGCGAACTCATTTTTTTTGAACTTAAAAACAAACATAAACCTTCAAAAATGAAACCTTTCCAATTTCTTTCAGAAATATCGCAACAAAATCTAATCCCTGATAATACCAATTTTCTCCAGTCTGTAATTCCTCTCAATTTTAAAAATCCTCATCCGCAGCAAATTCCCTTACACGTAATTCCTATTGATTCTTTTCCCTAATTCCGGATGCTGCGCAAACCAACATCCCTTTCGGCATCCCGTCTCACCCTTCCTGAAATAACACAGGGAACAAAATGTCCGACGACGTGCGCTCCGCGTCTATCTGTAATAAAGCAAAAATGTAGTTCTAAGAAAATTCCAAAACAAATCACATAGGTCTTCCAGTATTTAACATAGGTGATATTAAGTCTTCCGTTAGATTTAAGTCTGTAATATTAGTTGTGCGTGTTAAAAATAATCCTTTGATTCCATTAAATATTAAGAAAATTATATCGAGAAAATGTTTTACCCAAACCAACCAAGCAACCGTTTAGTGTTAGAAGGTAGACTACCAGTTCAGTATGCAAATAAATCTAATCAACAACATCGTCCCAGTGTAAATGAAAGAGTGATTTTTGAGAGGTTATGGCGAGGGGCACTGTGTCAAGCCCTAGGGCCTAGAGCATCATTGGCAAGGAGAATGAAACAATGTTGTTGTCATTGTGATTGTGGTTCCCATGTTATGGTACCTCAACGCAATGCACTCCGATCTGTTGTGAGGTAAATATATTTTGTGAAGATTTTATTTAGTTTTCATCCAAAGCATCTTAGAGCCTTCAGAGACTAATCCCAACGCAACTAACTCTGGTTCAGCCTCAGTACCTAAATTAGCCTTTGTTTGTCAGAGGCTTCTAAGACTAGAATTTTTGGCATAAATTCAAGTCTGTTAATGCTTTTGTTAAGTACAATGTTTCTGAATTTGTACTGGGAATATGCAGCAAACAATTTTTTTTTTAATCAAATACCTATAAAACACAAAGCCTTATTTTGTATTCAAATTTCAACTCCACTTTGAGTCATGGACTACTTTCTCAATTTAAATACCTATAACTTCGAGCTTGTTAACTACGGTATTTAACAATACATTGGTAATACTTTAAGCAAAATATTGCCTCAATATTTTTCCCATGACTTCAAATTTCATCTGTTCTCTCACAATTTTGTGATTTTTTTTTAATATACTTTATTCAGGGAAGTCCAACATATTTTAGGGATAAAATACAAAATTTCCTCGAAAATCACCATTGGAGTCACGTTCTTTTGATAGAGAATTTAAAGATAAGTTTATGCATGAAATAGAAAACATTTATTGTGAAGTTTTTTTTCTGATATGTAGGGTTTTTCACTAAGAGATGTCATTTTGAATTTCGCGCTGTTTTTTATTGTCAAACTTATGGAATGTTACTTTTTTCAACAATAATTGAGAAGTTTAAACTTGAGGTGCTCAATATTCTGCCTGACGACAGTGTGATGCAGTACTTCTTCCTAAAACTGACATCTATAACCGTGTACGTGGAGGCCATTCAATAGACATCGTGTTCCACAATAATAGATTTTACTTGACAACTGTTGAAAAAATAAGCATAAGTTTCATAGTACAAAAATGGCGTGAAATTTAAAATGACAACTCTTAATGGAAAACCCTATATGTACAGTACAGGGTGGCCCAAATTCGAGGCTCGCCATTAGGATCTCGGAAATCCTAAGATATACAGAGAAATGAAAAATTCCGAATACATACTTCGGGAAATATCTAAAAAACAAACGGAAACTGTGATCTTCGTATTTTTTACTGGCTACTGGCTTCATTTTAAGAGCTAGAGAAAAAACAAGATAATTTTCTTGAAGCATTCAATATGTTATCTAGAAAATGTTTTGAAATTCCCAAAATATCCATCTTCAGGCTGTGGTGGCAACACAATGGCGCACCACCCCATAATAAAAGGGCACTACCTCAGTTCTTATTAAAACGTTTCCCATTGATTTGGACACCAAGAGACGGTGAAATGGCCTGCGAGAAGCCCCGCTTTTTTCTTGCTGTATTTTTTTTTATGGGTAGTGTCTAAAAGTCGTTTGTGTAAAAATACTCTCTGTGTCATAAACATTTTGCTCTAAAATTAAACTAACTGAATCACAACTCTACGAGCAAGAGGAAAAGTAATTCGGTGGGCAGTTACGAGCAATTTGCGAAGTTACGTAATAATAACCTACTTAATTGTTATTGATATTTTTTTGCCATAAGCTCACTTCATGATTATTCAAGTAGGGCTGTACTAAAATCTTGCCAATTATGATGCTGATTTATTATTGTCAAACTAATGAAATTTTAGTACTGAAAAAATAGTTGTTGTTCAGAAAACAGAGTCGTGTTACGTACGGTATTAGTCACCAACCGCGAGACGAAAGTTCAAGAAAAGCTAGACAATCGAGCACGACAAGCGACGTGCATAAAAAGCTAAATGAAACACAAAAATAGACTAAAATAAATAGTTTTAACACTATTATTACACTGCATTATTTTGCATCGCCGCAAATTTCTTAAGATGCGAGTTGAGCAAAGATTATAAGTTTTCACGAATAATATTTGATATCTTATCATACATGGTTTCCTTAGATAAACTTGCACATTTTGCAAATAAATACCTCGAAAACGAGAAAAGATAACAAGATGCGGTTTGTCCTGGGAGAATAAGAGTTTTTTCAAGTTTTTTTCAACAGTGTTGCCAAATAATAAAATTTGCTGAAATTCGGTCTTACAGACATGCGATTTTCTGAAATAAAATTGTTGCCTAATTTTTAATGAAACACCCTATATTTCTTTTTTCATCGTCAGAAAGCTTGATTTTTCTACTTTACAAAAATGGCTGATGTTTTTTAATTATCTTCAAATTACATCGTAAAAATTGCACTTTGTTAAAAAGGATACAACCAACTGACCAAAATAAAGAAAAGAAAAATACTTCAAGCAATCGGAGGAACTTGAAACTTTCAGAATTTATTGAGTAGGGTCTTATTATCAAACAAAACAAACCACGAGTGGATCTCAGGGTCAGAAATAGAACTACGAATTTTTTTCTAACATAGATGCAATAAAATCATGTGAAATTTTTATTAAATAACCTTTGAAAAATACTTCAAGTAATCAGAGGTACTTCAAACTTATTTTCTATTAGGATTTATTGAGTAGGGTCTTTTTATCGAAAAAAACAAACTACGAGTGGATATCATCAATGCATTTAATCAGTGTCCATGAAAAGCGAAACTACGGCGTCAATACAGCAATAACATACTTCCTTCATTTTTGGAACAAAAGCTCACAAGGGTTCATTTTGCCAGCTTATAGAGCGATTTTTCAACAACAAAAAAAATCTATCGCTGATAATACATATACAGGGTGTCAATTTAAAAAACTGTCAATGGCCATATCTGAGTAACCAGAAAAAAATACAAAAAAATTTCTATCACATCGAATGTAGCTTTGTAGGGCACCATCATTGAAAACCGGCCACCGTGGCTAAGGCTTCCATCGGCATATTCTCGCAAGATGATTGCCCGTGTCTGCAACTCTAACAGCCGTATTCATAGTCAATCGCCAGCCAGTCGCCGTATTTGGCCCAGCACAGGGCGACTCGCTGGCGATTGATTATGAATACGGCTGTAAGACTGACCTAACGATGTTTGCCGCATCAAGAGTTACCGATTTTTGAATTAGACGAAAAGTTTTATGTTCAACTCCAATCTCTTCTAATCGGCACACATGATGATTGGAACAATTTTAACTTCTTCCAGCTTCCACATGTCGTTTACTCTCGTTTTAATTCGGCGTACTTTTCCATTTTCTCTCTGTGTTTTCTGTCTATATTATGATTGTTTGGTATGGCAATATCAATTAGAGATGCGTTGTTGTGTTGTTTATGATAGTTATATCTGGTTTGTTGTGATTTATCGTTTTGTCTGTTTTTATTTGTTTATTCGTGTAGATTTTGACTCTTGTGTTTTCTATCACTGGTTCTGGTTTGTACTGATAATATTTCGTGTTATTGTCAATCTCAAACGAATAAATTTTCAATAGTTCCAGGTAAACTATAGTAGCTACTCGATCATGCCTTTCTATGTATTTTGTTCCTGCCAGTGTCTGGTACCCAGAAAGGATATGGTCTATCGTTTCAGGTTCCGCTTTGCTTTTCAGTTTTCTGGCATTTGTCGTTTTGTATCTTTTCCTCGAAGATGTGTTTCTTATAGTTTAATGTAGCTATTACGTGGTCCTGAATGCCTATAATGAAACCTCTGGTTTCCGGGAACAAACTTCCGTCAACCAACCACTGAACTGATGCTCGCTGGTCCACGGAATCGCGCCGTAGCTCGTTGTAAAAACGACCATGGAGAGCTTCTGATCCCCATTCTCTAAGAAACTGGTCTCTTGGTCTTTCCGTTAGCAGATTGTGGTTCTCGGCGTTCAGATTGAGTGGTGTGTAATTGTTGTCAGCTCTGACTACAGCTCTATGAATTTCGTTATCTTCCCCTCTTAAGGATCGTATCTATTGTTTGTAGGCAGCAATTGCATCGATGATTTCACGTCCCCCGTGTTCTCTAGGTAGATTGATCCTCTCTACAGCTGACCCTGGGTCATTTTTTCTTAATTTTGTTAACTCGGTCCTAATCATACGGTTAATAATATGATCTAAGTCAGTTTGCGTCCATTTCACAACACCAAATGACTCAAATGAGTATTGCAAAATGGGAAGGGCGTAGCTGTTAAATTAGTAAAATTTTTGGAGCTGAGTTTGCTTATAAGAAGCTTTCTCAATCGGGACTGGAATTGGTTGATAAGTAATTGCTTGATTCTGGTGTGTTCGATCTTGTTCGTCTGCAGGATTTCGAGATATTTGTATGGATCCTGGTTCATCGATGTCACCACTGTGGACGTATCTAGTTGGATATCAGGCCCTTGAATCAGTCTACCTTTCTCCACGATTACTGTCTGACACTTTTTCACGCCGAAATTCATGCCAATATCAGAGCTCATTTGGTGGGTCAGTTTTAAGATAGTATCAAGTTGCTTTCTGTTCGCGGTGTATATTTTTAGGTCGTCCATGAAGAGAAGATGGCTAATAACTTTCGGGCTTCTTCCGTGTTTTAGGGCGAAGCCATAGCCTGTTTGACTTATCGTTTCGGATATTGGGTTCAGAGCCAGACAGAACCACAAAGCAGACAGTGTATCCTTTCGAAAGATACCTCGCTCTATGTTGATGGTTTCTGATTCGATGTAAGGAAGTTTATGATGGTTGGATCAATGTTGTTAATCTCTAAGGCCTTCAGAAGCCAGCTATGCGGTATTGAGTCGAAAGCCTTCTGATAGTCTACGTATGCCATGCACACGTTTCTTTGCGTTTGTCGGACTTTTCGGCAAGGATGGCCTCCCGTTCCAGATATTTGTCGACTTTCCGACAAATTGCAGCCGAAAGAATCTTATAGATGGTGGGAAGGCACGTGATCGGTATATATTGCGAGGGATCTTTGGTATGGTCGGACTTAGGAAGAAGGTAAGTGACTCCACTTACAAGGAAACTACGAAGTTGTTCTGGTTTCCTTATTATCTTGTTGAACTGTGATGCCATGCATTCGTGAACGGAAGTAAATCTTTTGTACCAGAAGTTTTGGATTCCATCCTTACCTGGAGCCTTCTAGTTTGCTAGTGTTGAAATTACTCTCCTGACGTC